GGGGGGGGAAGGATTCAACTTTTCCTATTAAAAGAATGAGAACAAAAAGTTAAAAAAGAGAAAAGAACGAAAGGAAAGAAGGATTAGAAACCAAAAGATAAAAAGGAAAAAAGAGAGAAAGTGACAAGAGGTCAGAACAACGAAAACAAAAGGAAAAGAAGGAGAGATCTTTGAATAAGATAACAAATTCCCGTGAAAAGTGAAAACCAAAACAAACAAAGAAGATTCAAAAACAAAAGGAAGTCGAGTTTCCGTTCGTGGCTTCGGGTTCAACCTTGTTGCTACTTTGTCCGGCCTGAGTTTTGGCATTGGATTAGAGTTGTACTGGTTCTCTTTCTTGCATTAATGAAACTCTTTTGCTAAGGCTTTGATTCCATCCTTCTTCATTATTATATTTTAGATATTCTTTGAATAAATATATGATTTGGTTCCTTTTTATTAGTATTTTATTTCCTTAATCTGTTATTTTCCTTTTGGGCATATGCTTCTGAATCAGTATTATCATTTAGTTAATTTAGTGAAAGACTTAAAAAATATCATAAGAGCTTAAGACTAATATGACGATGATGATGCTATAAATGTTTGCCTAGTTGTACTTAAATGGTCAGTTAAGATTTCACAAAATTGTGCTTTGAGGTTTATTAGAAATGAGTTAACTTTTTCTTCCAATCATTCTTGTGGATAGACGATAAACTAGAATAAATTTTGCCTTATAAGATTGTAGTAAGTTTATTTTATAAAAGAAAAAAGTTTTCTTCTTTGAGTATATGTTTACAACTGTTAACTAATTAGCCATAATAACTAAAAAATTTCAGGTGTTAATATCAGTAGGAACACCTTAAACAAAAATCTTGTTAATTGTATTAATTTTTCTATGTCTTTAACCTCACTATAAGTTAATTTTAGTATTATGATTAGCTATCTTAAATTAGTCTATGGATATGGACTTCTTCTTTGTTTCACTATTGAAGAATAAATTGGCATTTTCATGAGTTTATCTTAATTTTAAGAACTTCGTTTGAATAATTTTTTTTGTTTGTTTTATTATCATAATTATTTTCCTTTGTAAATTAATCGGATGTTTCATTAAAATGTGGAATATATTTCCTTAACATTTCCACCGAAAATAGATTCAAGAGAGAATATGACTAATTGGGTCTAGACACATTGTAAGGCCTATTACTTTACTTTACTTTACTAATATATAGAAGAGCGAGAGAAGCAACTGAAGGTCGTCATGTGTGCTTGCTGCTAAAGGGTATTCTGGTCATTTCATATTGCTCCTAAATTTGGCTGAAAGCTAACGTGTGTGAATCAACTTTACAGCTGGTGCAAATACAAGAAGTCTGCGGCGCTTTTTACTAATATACAGAAGAGCGAGAGAAGCAGCTGAAAGTCGTCATGTGTGCTTGCTGCTAAAGGGTATTCTGGTCATTTCATATTGCTCCTAAATTTGGCTGAAAGCTAACGTGTGTGAATCAACTTTACAGCTGGTGCAAATACAAGAAGTCTACGGCGCTTTTGTATGACATATAGGTCACTCTCTATCTCTATCTATTCATCTTCTTTGTTTTTCTCTGTCTGCATTCTACTACTTCATCCTCTGATTTCTTCTTTGTTTCAACTTTCAAGTGAGTGAATAATTTGTTATCACTGTAATCTATGAGTTTGTTTTGAATTATTGTAAGTTCTTTGCTGTTTTGATAGCAATTTGGTCGCTACTTTCGATTTCACGGAAAAAATCTGTACGTTCCCCTTCAATGTTGAATTTTATTGATGTCATTGCTGCTTGTTTTTTGGGGGTTCCCCAGTGCTAGCACAATGTCGTATGTTAATTAGTCAATTTTGGGTTTTACTGATTATGCTTTTTGAGAAATTTTGGACTGATTATACATCTAAATCTCTTTATATGCTTTTCTCTACTGTTGCTTTGAATAATATGTTATTTTCAGTTCTGTATGTGAAATAATTTACTAAGAAATTTTAGTGATACCAAGAACAGAACTTCTTCCATTTTTCTTCATACAATAAGTTGTTTTCTTTTTCAGAATATATGTCAAAACATTATTGTGCCTCAAATATTTATCTATCTTTCTTCTATAAGCTTATTTATTTTTTCCTGAAGTGTTAACTTATTTGTTTGAATAGGTTAATTATTGTTTCTTAAAATATTTGGTTGTGCTTCTTGGTTTGTGTTTAATCCTGGGATTTGTTCTTACAATTTTACACTTATCAATATACAGGTTATATTGAGAAAATGGAAGAAAGACTTAGTATCAGTGAAATTACACCACTAACTACAGAATGGACTTGTAAAGTCAAGACTGTAGATAAATTTCGGCCGCGAGACAGTAGAGATCAGCGAGTTCATTTTCAGACAATAATTGTCCAGGATGTAAAGTAAGTCACGTTACAACCATAATTGTAACATAACATCTTCTCACTTGTACCTTCCAATAATTACTGCGTTATCATTCTTGATAACACTGTAGGAGGAACAAATTTGTGTAATACTCTATGGTGACGACATTAAACGATGTGATAACTTGTTCGAACTTTTTAAGACATATCTGATTTCAACTGCGAAGGTTAGAAATCCGCAGCCTTATTCACTACATATTGGCCAGTTTGAGTGGATCGTTGACAGATTCACTATTGTTGAGTCTATCCCAAAAACTAACGAAAAGGAGGCACCGTTACCTCCTCCGTCGAGACTGAGTGCGATTTCGTTCGCCGACGTTGAACAACAGCCTTCTGGTGTTGAATTTGGTATGTTTCAAATAACCCTATGCCTTATAAGAGCTTAATTGCTTCGGACCCATGGTCAATGCAAGTATATTAGTTCTACCTACGTTTGTTTTTTGTTTATAACAACAGATCTACTAGCTGTAGTGGCAAACTGTGGTGCAATGCAATACACCGCTGATCAGACTAAGAGATTTCAAGAGGCCATAGTTATGGACAATACGTGAGTCATTTAATTTTCTGTTACATAACAAAATCTCTAACTGACACTTATAAAAGTACATGTACAGGAAGAAACCTCTTTTCTTCACTATATGGGAAGATTTGGCAAGCAATGAAGGAATTGAGTTACTGAGACAAGTGAGGCAACTTCAAGAATATCCTGTTATTCTCGCGAAACGGATAGGTACCACAACATACCATGGTGGTAAGTTCATGAAGTTCCTATTTTTACATATGGATAATGGTTCCGCGTTGGTTATTAACAAAATTTGCATACACAGTTTCCCGTTTGGCAACAAGATACAACTCAACAATCTTAATCAATCCCCTATATGTGCAAGCAACTGAATTACGGAATTGGTACAATACAAACTGTGCTTAAAATGTATCACATCATTATTTAATTATAATTTTTTCTGTGAAAAAAAATTGTCTGACATTTCCTGTGCGAATTACAGGGTAGATGAGAACAAAGAAATGTTAATCGAATACACAGTTAAGAGTTCAGCGGAGTCAGCTTCATCGCTTAATCTTGTAGCTGTTGACGATGAAATATTATCTGTTTCATCTATTGCTACTCAAACCTCCAGTGTGAGTTCAGTAAATTACAATATGGATAACTGTTAAACCTCCAGTGTGCCACACCATGTATCTTTTATACAATATGGATAACTGTTAAATATGTTCTAATATGCTACTATTCGTGTCAGCCCAATAACATTATGGTCTAAACAATATTAGAGTATAAATTTTTGGAATAAACTCTTACGCTAAAATTCAACTACCTATCAAACAGATCCTCTTATGTTGTTTACCTTTTTTAGGAATTTTGTTAGGTTCTGTAGTTCCAAATTACCACATATGTTATTTTTCTTACTTGCTGGCCATATTGAACACATGTTAATCAGATAGATGTATACCAGAAGCTTACAACTTCAACTATGGCTGCTTACTTACTGTTAATTATAGCAGACTAATTATCTTGCTAGAATTGAGTTTTGGGATTGTAGTTATGTGCTTCATACAAATCCTACATTTTCCTTATGTTAATAAGAATATTATCAAGTGTTCAGGTTGATCCGCCCTTTTGATCTCTCCTGTTACTATAGGCATCTTACAGTATCTTATACTCAATACAAGCTACAATTATTGTTCCTACTAATATCGACTAACTTTGTATTTACTTTCGTCACGTAAATTATATGCAGTTAACAATTAATGATTTAGCAAGTTCCATTGCTTATATTATAGAAAAAATAAACCTGACGACTTGTTTCATTATTTACACTTTGCAAGCAGAAATTTTTTACGTGGAAGGAGAAATTTCGCTACCTGAGCATTTCCAACGATTTTATCTGCTACGTTGTTCTGAATGTAACCATCTTGTTTGGAGCAAAATAAAAAGGAGATTCAATGCATAAACTGCAGGCTACCACGAATGTTAATTCCAAGGTAACAACCGCTACTAATAAGATGATGTCATTGACAATATTTAATACTGTGTGCATTAATAATATGTGTCGCCTCAAAAGTCAAAGTAGCCAGTTTTTCTTAAAAATGTGATAATATCACCCCTCAAGGCTTTTTCCATGTTCTTTTGTTCTTATGCATACACGTTGATAACCACTTTGCGATATTTTGGGATGCACTATAGCTGAAAACTCATTTAAGCTCACTAGAGCACAGGCATTGAGCTAAACAAAAACAAACTGTAGCTTTCTTTAACCACAACTAACGCTATTCTAACGGCAGAAGAAACAAAGGTCAGAGGCACAAACTACTGCAATTTCTTCTGCTAGCATTTGCAGTTACAAGTATTTTAATTTGATTTTTACCTTGTTTATTATATGTTTCTCTATTTCTGACTTATGGAACTTTGTCAAAGTAAAGCTTTGGCCTAATTATGAATAGACCAATGAGTTTCAGTTAAACTCTAATTACTTTCACCCTCTTTTCACTATCCGAAAGAGTTTTCTTTCCTTTTTTGTTCCAATAGTTTTCATGTCCTGACTTTTGAATAGCTACAGAGAAAACTCAAATGTTCAGGCTTCTATTATTGTAAAAGTTATGCCTGAAATAAGTTAAAACTATTAGTTTTCCTACCTGATTTCTTATATTTTACTTTGTGCGAATCATAGAAACGTAAAGCCTTGACCTAATTGTTAATAGGTCAATGAGTTTGTGTTCTGTTCAATCTATCTGTTATCTTTTAACTCGATTTATTTGTG